CAACCTTTAGTCTCCTTCAAAATATAGTAATAACTTGGCATGAACTTCCGACTCTATGAAGATACCGCGCTCCGCGACGATGCACAAAAATAAAAGCGTTACACTAACGTTGCCAGCGCTCTGTTCATTTCTAACACCTGCACATACGCAAATCCTCCCTAAACTTGCATGAGTCCTGTGCACCAAAACCAAATTTATTTAACCTAGCAGTTCAGCAATGTGTGAAGTCAAATTGTTAGGAAATACCGCGCCACTGTGCATGCAATAGGATATACTGAAGTACTTCCCATGGCTTCCATTTAAGATTAGAAACTGATGCCATAAGCAGCAGTACTCGTATCTCACGAATTGGGAATAAAAACGCAATAGAACAAAAACATAAGACTACCTTTAAATAGTCGGCGATTGCATTTTGAAGCTTCACGAAACCGTATTTATGAGCGAGACCGAGAATATCCATAATTTGTTCTTCCTTATACTCAAGCAAGGTAAGCTTAGCGGTATAAATATACCTTAACCAGTATGAATATAAATCAGCAGACATGAGACTGTTTCAATACTTTAGGAATTTCAAGAATTTCCGTGAGAGGGGTCATAAAGGGATTCTTTATGAAAAATGGGATCGTCATGCGACCCCACCTTCTTCACCTTACTGCTTCAAAATCTCACTCACTCGCCCGAGTTTCTTTACACTACGCTTAGGCAAGTCGTCTTTTCAGTAAGGCTACTGTAGTTGCAGACAATTCATCAATGAAAAGAAGACACCCACCTCAAAAGAATACGAAATGCAAATACGTTAGTCTCCTCGAGAACGATTTCGCCTTCATCACTTTCTTTCATTCCTCCATAAAGCATAGCTCTATAAAACAGCAAAATAAAAAGAAAACTTTTCTAATAAAACGAGCAATGTGTAACAGTATGAGCTATAAGTAAAAAACATTTCTTGCCTGAAGTAGTCACTACGAGCAGCCAAAAGAACTTTATGAGCAGGAAATTTCTCTCCGTCAACCGCAAATATTACATCAGAGAAGTTTGGATTCAAAAACAGGGACCCTATATTGTCCGAAAGAAAACCAGTATGATCGATCTCACCGGAGTAGGAACCTGAACAAGTAAATTCAAGCCATGACATCGTTCAGCTTAATCTGAGTTCTCTTCAAAAGACCACAAATTTCGGAATTGTTCAACTGTTACTACCCCAAAAATCACAAAAAAGTTTTTTGGTGAAACTTTGGTAATACCATAAGGGCAATTTGATGTACTAATCGAGTATGATATTCGTTTTTCACGCCAACGCCATTTGGCGCCACCACCTTTCTCACAAAAATCGGTTTAAACTTGTACATTGGCTATACGGTACCTTGATCACGAACATTACATTCTTTTTAGCCATGGCGCCATTTGGGAACCATCAGATGATGAGTTAGCGCCACACCTTCTTTCATCAAAATCGATAAGAACCTCCATTATAGTGTTTTGAAGCCATCAAGAATATAGCATTCAGTTCTCGACACCAGCGCCCCAGGCTACCAGGAAAGGTCAACAGGTCAGCCTGGCCATTTCCAATGAGCTGCACACCGTTGTACGCGTCTTGGGACGGTGAACTCGAATCTACCTTCAGAATTTGCGGAACGACTCTCTGAACGGAGTTATGGAGGGTTTTATCCCCGCGTGGTTGTTTCACATGCTATCGCGAGGAAACGTGGAAGCGTCTTCATATACAAGAATGGAGTCACATTGAAACGTGGCAGTAGAGCGCAACGGATAGCGAGCGGATTTACTAGGCGAGACGTCGTAGGATCGGTTCTCGGCAGGGTGCTTTTTTGCATTTGTCCAAGAACATGGCCGACAAAGCTTCTAACATCTCTGCTCGCCTGCACTATCCTGTAAGGAAATTTCGACCAGTTTTTTTTTCGAAAGACTCATTATGGCCTGAAAGAGTGCTCGTGCTTGTCCCCCCCCGTAGCACATGTCACAAGGGTTTTTGCAATGAAATACCATCATATTCATGTTCAGCGGGTTAAATTACCCCTGGGGACAAGTTTCTAGCCGAATCTGATATTTCGACCTAACTTGGAAAATGTGGTTATTCCATGGGTAATTAGCAGCAGTTTGGAGCTCACCTACCATCGATGACTGGTCTCGGAATGGGATTTCCTCCCGATAGTCAAGAAAATGATGCAGACGGCACAAATAAGTAAGCCAGGTACTGTTGTTTGCGAAAAGACATGACTGAAGAGTTATTTCAGTTCGAAGACCAGTCATCACCAGTATGCTAGTCGTAGTATGGCTGTTGGCTCTCAGTCAGCTACTATCCATACCCCATTTTTTGAAGTTGGTTCAGAACCTCAGATTTCGTTAAGGTGACGTTTCTAGGGGTTTTTTGACCCCCTGAACACGAATATGATAGCTATTTTGCGCGAAGAGCGCTGTGAGTCGCGCTACAGGTGCCAACGCTTCGGCGCCAGCGCGCCTAAGAAGAAAAACAGTAAAGAAAAACCTCCATAACTCCGCTCAGAGAATCGTTCCGCAAATTTTGAAGATAGTTTTGAGTTCACCGTCTCAAGACGGGTACAACGATGTGCATCTCATTGCAAATGGCCAGGCTGACCTGTTGACCTTTCCTGGTCAGTATCAGCCGAGCCGAGATGATGTAGCGTGCCCCATTAGCGCCAGCGCCAAGAATGAATGCCATATTCGTAACCAAGATGTCAAATAGCCCCGTATAAGAAGCTTTCAGCGGATTCGGTGGTCAAGAGTGGCGCGGGCATCAGGCAGCTCCAGATCAAGCAGGTGTGATATCAGGGCACATCATTGGTTGGGGATTTTGGTGAAGCCCGTACGACCCCCCCTTTTTTTGGGGGTTCGGTACGACCCCCCTATACATAAACTTATGAAGTTTCTTCCCCCCCCCCGAGGAGGAAGAAACTTCATAAGTTTATGTATAAGTAAGCGCGAAAAATGGAAAAAGTAACAATCCTGAACGAGGCCCCCCTCGCTTTTTGCTCTCCTGATTCAGAAAAGAGAAT